GCGATAACCGGACGCCGAGACTCGCGCGTGCGGTAGCTCAAGCCGTAACAAGATGATTTACAGGATGAGCAGTCAAGTCAAATAGCATTCACTGCAAACATGTTCCTTCCGTGTCTCCATTGTCCCCATGTATATTTCGCCGTAATTTGGCACCACATTCACCACATCCATTTTCCCACCATAGAACTCCAAAGAGCGCGAGCGCAAAACGCCAATTGATTTCGTTGGCTTGTTGCGCGTTGCGAAGGTTGATATTGAGCTCATTGATGTGTCTCACGGGTAACTTGTAGACATTATCGCAATGTTAGTAGTGGAGAGTGTACCATTGGTCTCAAAGGTCAGTGTTGTTTTCAAAAAATCTCTTCGGAAAGGGCCAAAAGTGTTTTCAGTTTTTTGTGTGCAAACCCGCTGATCTAGTTTAGGTGTTTTATGATTTGGTTACATCGAAATGTTGGATGCTGTCATTTGCGATACTAAAATGGGCTCAGAAAGACGAATTTTACTTTGTGCCTTTCGTGCCACAGGATTTGGCCAGCCCAACCAAGCCCAAGAGATGAAGAAGGGACGTGCTATAGTTGGGATGCAGTAAGCGCACACCCTAGGCAATAGTCTAAATATTCTTTAATCGATTGAAAATGTTTTCAACTTTTACCACATGGATAACAATCTCAGGATGTACAATGTCTGCCATGATTTGTGCTGATGTGTTGCCACAGCGGCAGTACGACTTGCAATATACTGCCTCCGTCCCAAACTAATTGTCCTCTATGATTTTGGCGTCACATTTCCCTATGATAGGTAAATGCGTTTATTGTAAATTTTCGTAAAAAGGTGTGCCTATGACTTTGGATTATACTATTCACAGAACGAGTCGATCTCTTCAGTATTGTGGATGCAACAGCACTTTGTATCAAGGGCCCTCTGTCAGTGAAATTTCGACTGTCTGCTGTCACTGCGAAAACTGCCCTTCTTCGCCTAATGTGGGGAGCACGCCTTCGCGGCAGCAGAACAAAGCCGCCTGTGCGAAGCTGTCTAGCCCGTTATGACAGAAGCTTAAAGAAATCCCTGCGAAGAGGCAAGGCTATGGAAACGTGTCCTGGAGAGTTTGACTGTTGAAAACGCAATGGCTTTGCGCTTGCCCTTCGACATCAATGTGTCAATTTGGGCATGCAGTTACGGCCCAGATTTCCGGGCCGCCACTTCTGAAACTCCGTGATAGCTGTGTAAGCTCTATTCCAGACGAGGGACACCAGCCTTCGCCAAGGCGGAAGCAACGCCGTCGCTTTGGCACACCTGGGGCGACCCAGAACCAACCGGATTTTCAAAGCACTCGAAATCAGAATGCGAAATTTTCGGACGAACTTTTGGCAACTTTGAGCGGTCCCCAAAGGGAGTGGAGCTAGGTATTTTTCCACAAACATCTGTAATTAAGAGTTTCAAAACCCATTTTTACAGATTGTCAACTTTATCAGTAATTTGAATACAATTTAGGTAAGAGTTTTTATATTAAAACTAGAGGAATTTACTTGGGACGGAGGAAATAATGTTGGACTTTTGGATGCAAAAATGATTATAGTCCACCCCGCAGAATATGTAGTGTTGACCACGACTCTGGAAAGATTGCAGCTAAGGCTAGGAGACACCTTGGACAGGGGCAAGCATTGATTTGGTAGATGTGCCAAGGCTTGAAAGGGCTTGAATGCTGACGCCAAAGAGAGAAAGACTAGGTTATGGCTAACACAGCCAATCGTTTCAAATGAAAATTTCGAAACAGAATGCAGCAAAGTGGAAGAGATGTTTTACAAAGAATGTGGAAGTGGTGATATCAAATCTTTTGAAATTACAGGGTATTGCATTTTTTGGGTCCAAAAGGAACTTTCAAGAGATTTATATGAAATGCGTAGGAACACACCGGAGAAAGGTCAGCACTGATGTGCTTGGAATTGAGGCCCATGTGGGAGCGAACATGGACGCTTTCCATACCATTGTGAGATCAGCGCTGCGTAGCAATGAATAATGTAATCAAGATTCATATAGAATCGACATTACCGACCCAAAACCAACCGGATATTCCCTACCCGGTAGCGAATTGACTACTTGAGTTGATCTTGCAAAGTCGCAACAGGATTGGATATGGATCAGGGCTTCTAAACAGAGGCATTTGCACATATTGTGAACATTTGTATCATTTTCTGAGTCACCACTAATTATATAGGCTACTTGTATTCATTAAATCTGTAGGTTCAATGTCCCAAAAATTACGTCGCTGATGTGGTTTGATCGCGCAGAGGGAGAGGCCGTGGTTCACCATGGCGACAACAGAACCAAAGAATATCATCATAATGATTCAAGCTTCAGGCAAGTGCTCGTGTCAAGGCAGAACGAAGAACACTGTTACTTTTGGCACGGCAACTGGCTTTGTTCCGCACACGTTTACAAGAACATACACAGCTGGCAGAGTCTGACAGGGCTTGCTGCAAACATGAAGGCACGCTCAGATTTTGGTCTGCGGAACGCTCCACTCGCGCGAGATGAACCCAAGAATAGAACAAATACAGTGTGGCCACCACCACAGTGTCTCCTGCGAGTCCGCGGGAAACGTGTCCCTTCAGCATTTTTGCGCCAAGTTTTCGTTGAGAGTAGAGAATTTCCCTGCCAAGGGCACGTTCAAATTTGTTCCCTCAACGCAAAGCAATCTGTGCGCAGTGGATACGAGTGTCTTGGGGATGGAGGTGCGTTGGGAGGAAGGCCATCCAAGAATCCCTTGGACCTCGACATTGGCAGGAAAAGAGCGGCCCAGAGTTCGCGCAGAGATAGTCATATATTGCAGTGCCGGAAACGGGAAGGGTGACTCTTGTTGGACATCAAAAGACAGAAATTGATTGGGCATCGGGGGCTGTGTGCAAATCTTCACCTCGTGCTCGTGGACCGGGTAGTGGGGCTCGCATCAGGGAACAGCTCCCAGCAGTGAGATTCCATTTCGTCAATTGCCCGTCTCGTCCAGTTGTTGCAATCGTTCAATCCGAGCTACGCATGAGATATGTGCAGTACATGCGTCTGAGCTTGAACGCACATTTGAATTAAGAATCTGGGGAATACTATATCGCGAATCGAAAATACGATGAATGAGTTTTTCGCAAAATGAATTCTCCGCCATGAAATTTGAGAAGGTGGCTTGGCCGATGGTGGCTCGAAAACCTGAATAGGAACGTGTGTTTGGTAGTTTGCAATTGAACATTGGAATATCGAGCTCAAGCTGTGGATTTGAATTTCTAACTCTCAAGCTCACGCGGATTTGGCGCCAGAAACGATGAACAAGCGACTCCACCCTGGTGCCCCGGACAGCGCCGAGTCGAGGTGGGGTCTGGCTAAACGAAGCGCCCAGGACGTTCTAGGCACCCTTGACAAAGCAAACGACAACATAGCTGTCGTGGTCTTCAACGCTGCACCCAGAGCACTGCTGGTGGGGCTATTGTCACTGGAAAACGTACATTGATCGATTGTTTGACATGTGCTTGATCCGGAAATTCATTACTAAATGTAAATGCCCAGTAGTTGAGTATTAAGAAGTGAGTATCTGGTAACTGCGGATGCGGCGGTTATATTCCAGAAGGGTTTAGTGCTTTCTCTCTTTCGAAGTGTTGTCCCTTATTTAATTTGTGGAAGCGAAAGCAAATAACATTCAGTTCATCAAATTTGAGTGAAAAACTTCTGGGGTCTTTTGACGAGCGCCATCCACTGAAAAATTGAGTTTTGGTGCAGAATTTGAATTGCACAAAGAGATTTATTGATTGCTAGTCTTGCAGGGCGATGGGATGATGAAGGCCAATGGAGAAAACATAAAAGCTCTGCGGGGAGCACTGGAAAACGTAACGCTGTCCCCTGGATCCGACAACAACGCCGCATTTGACCTGGCCTTCGACCTTTTCAAGAAGAATCCGATTTCCAACAGCTGTCAGAACGTGAGTGCTGCAAATTTTCCAACGTGGCTTTGGGAAACTTCGCAAAGTTTTTCGCCTGTTAGATTGTTTGAAAACTGTCCCACGGGACGAACTGTTGACTTGAATTGTATGTCTTGGTTTCGTCGTGAAAAGAGCTTGCACAGAGCTAGACTGATGTGAATCGCTGACTCAGAATCGTTGGAGGAAATTTCTGTTTGCATGTCTTGTTGCCTTGGCATCTCGTTCTACCTTGCTTGAAATGCGGAACAACTTAAGTTCACCACAGCATAATGTAAGAATTATCGACCCTATGCCGTGCGTCGTCGCCCCTAATTTTTATCTTGATATTCGTGTTTATTTCCACAGTTTGTATTTCCAGGCGATATTTATCGTTGGTATCAGTGTGAAATATCCCAGATCGAATCAAGACACATTGGCACAGGGTGACTGGCAGTTGTGAAGTGTCAGAATTGATAGCATGCTACCTGATGCGCTTCAATGCAGCCAAATCTATAACTAGATGCATGCTAAATATATAGAGCAAGAAGCAGCAATTACAGCGAACAAGCTGACGAATATATTTGAGATTTTTCCGTGTGCTGTCCTGCTAAGAATTGGACATATGAAACGATATCATTGTAAGCTTCAATCACCGCTGACACCAAAATGATGGGAATTCGACGTTTGTAATTGGTGATATACATAACAGCCAAGGAATATACGCAATTATCATTTTTTAGGGCCTCTTAACTTTTCTAATTGCGATTTGGATATTGATCTTTTCCCAACTCTGTATATTGATGCTTCGAACTTTCCATTGCCCGCTCAATCATTTCAATTGACGGCGATGCTCACTTTGCTCATGTAGATTGATCATTTGCCAAAATTTGTCTTGATCTCTTATGAAGCTTTGAAAATTTCCTTTCTAACATTCGCGGTGCGTTCTTGCCCACATATCAGATAATAATTCACGTGGGGGACGGTAACGACTGCACAACAAATGGCAGCGAGAACTGCAGCCTGGCTCAAGAGGGCGGGGAACTGCGTGACGGCATTCAGGAGAATCTGGACGCCCTGGAGGCACTTCAGAAGGACATGGAGAAAACTTCCAGCCGCGCGGCCATTTTCACGTTCACCGTGCTGAATGCGGACGACAGCTTTGCGAGACAGCTGGCGTGCCGTAATGGCGGAGCGTGGTCCATGCTCGGCGGTGAGGTTCGCGGCGTTCTTTGCAGCAACAGCGACAACCTGAAGTACAGCAGAGCAGTGGTGCAATTTGCGCACTCATCCAACGCGATGAATCTTGTCCCTCACGCATTCGCGCTGTTGTGTTCCGATTTTGGGCCGTTTTGATTACGTGTTTAGACGCGAGCCGGGGCACCACGCGGGCAGCGTGGTGAGGCACCTGGCTGTTCGAAGCGTCGTGGCGCTTCGTGTCACCTGGTGGGCAGACTTGCGCCGAGCGTATGTGCTATTGTGATATGAAAGTTGGGAGGAAACGCTGCAACAAACTTTTGGCGCTTTTTGAATGCACGCATTTGCAATGCTCGCAAGATGCGCCAAGATATCCTGTGAATCGAATGTTGCCATTTTGGCAAGGCTCCCCGAGGAATTTTATTAAGGGAAGACGCTATGTCGGTTCTAGTGCGCGTCAAATCTAAGGCCATACCCTCACCCCAGACCCCTCCCCCACCCCCCCAACCCCCCACCCCCCTAGCGTCAATCATCATGTCGATGCCAGGGTGGCTGAGCAATATTACACAACGGGGATAGAAATTTTGAAGGTGCTTTCCGGATACATATGCAGTCAGAATTGCAAGATTTCCGCGGTCCGAAAGCGGGATGACACAGACCATTGCGGGTGATTGGGTCGGCCTTGGCGGCTGGCTGTTGAGGTATTCTGGGCCATTCATTCAATATTGGGCACTTCGGGGAGGCTTGGAAACAAGTCAGGGTTTGTTTGCCGCTCACCAGAGACGATTTTGGACATCTTTCCGCCTTACACCGATTCTGTGGCAATTGCATAATTCTTCCTGACCCCTCCCCACCCCCCATTTCCCATCCATCAGCGTCAATTTGACGCTAAGCGCAATAAAGTCGATGTAGCGGCTTCCCAAAGAGACCTAAAAAGAAAAATTTGGAGATAATTTCAAAAGGCAAAGCTTCTTGACAAAGCCGGCGCATCTGGGGCCATTGCGCAAGCAGCCAGCTACACTCGACGGCTGGCGCATTGCAATACTAGAGTACCACTAGGAAAAAAGTGCCAAATAATAAGTGTTCAAACGTGTACAAAGTTTACGGGTTTGTGTTGTTTTTGTACTCTTAGCGTGCAGAACTTTGATGAAATGTGTTTTATGTGTGTTAGCAAAATGTTATTTGGCCCTTTCTTCCCTAGTGTACGGTATGCTTTCGACCGCGCAATCGCCGAGATGTCGAATTGTTGATCAAATTCAGATGCTGGAATAAAACACAAAAGAAGCCAAAACAATTGACACTTGAACTCGAATATGTAGATGATCGTCACACTGAGGCACATTTCGTGAGGGAGAGAGAATCATAAAGACATGGACATGTATTTTCTCTACATCTCGGTGTCCGCGGAATATTCAGATCATTTCCTACCGGTATTTATTGGCGCCGAGTTTAGGACAACTATGCCACATCCATTTCAAGAAGCCTATTCAATTTCCAATCCGAGCATGGCTTCGTGCTAGTTTACCAAATACAATGGTAGGGAAGCATTAGTTAATTACGTTAAGGAAACGTAAAATGTTATCCAACCAAGCAAGTATATGAAACACGTGCGTATCGTATACGCAGGCCGCGGTTGGCCGCTGATCAACATGGGCGCCTACTTCCAGTACATCGCCTTCTCCATGGAATCCACCAAAGCCCCCTTCTTCTTCACGCCCATCTACCAGGATGCAGGGGGGCTCGGAAACATGACCACCGTGGCGGCTCCCGTCTTCGTTCGTCCTTCCTGCACCAATGGCGAGGCAGCTGGAGAGCAGCTGCTACTGGGAGTCGTTGGGAAGGACGTCACCCTGGCAGAGCTAAAGGAGTCGGGGCTGAACAGGGCGCAGGTTGAGGTCATGATTGACGAGAGCCTTGGGAACGCGCGCGCATGTAACGAGGCTTACCGTTACACCGACTGCAAAATGCAGGTGAGGGATAAAGGATCTTCTCTCGATCTTTTCTTTACCATTTGTTTTCCGTTCCTTTTCAAGGTGTTTTCCTCTTCTGTGATATTTCTTTGGTTTTGCTTCACTTAATTCGTTTTGGTGGTTGTGGTGGAATGCAAATTTGAAATGCTTTAGCGGTGATTTCGATACTGTAGTTTTAGCTCGTGATTATGGAGCGCCTGAATACGTAAAATGCCGTGGTGGGTTAATTGTTTTCATGCAAGTTCGGTGCGACGCTGAAATTTCCGTAAATACTCTAGATATGTTTTTTCTATAAGAAATGGCCGTGAATTCTGTGGAATTTTGTAAGAGACATGTGTGTGCAAGCACAGTGTTGCTTCCTGCTTGCATGGGAAATAGCCGGAAGATGGAGGCAGGGTGGAAAACGCCGCTTTGAAATGTGCTGAGGTACTCTAAATGTCACCTTATAATATTTCCGGAATTTCTGTATAGTACGACCTGTGATATTACATGTAAAGCAATGCGCGCATTGAATGTACGCAAGCAACGTATATGCACATCACACAATTCATTTTGCTACAACACTAGATCAGTTTGAAGGCGAGTTTTGGACCCTCAACTGCAAAAATGCTGTCACAATAGCGCCGCTAGAGATCATGCCGTCATAGGAAAATTTCCGGGTACTTGGGTCAGTGGTTCCTTGCCCCCATTCGCAGATATAGACGTAGGATTTCTTCAAATACTTCAAACCTCCTCGTACATTTTCACAAAAGCGCAATAAATTACGCACACGTATAAATTGCGGATCAGTGTGCATCTTCTTTAGTGTGTTGCGACAATTGCCTCCTGTCTGCTATTGAGTGCTTTCCCTAATACCGTATATTCACGGTGCTAGACCAGCACCCGGTACATGATGAGCTCTCGTGGTAGTATGCGTTTGCCGAATGCCTTGTGTTTAGGTTCTTCGAGATTCGGCATCAGCGCATCAGTTTCGCGCGGAATGTCCGTTACGCAAGTGGACCCGTCTCGACACTGAAAGATGTTACGTTTTCGAAGATCGCCACTACATATTGATGGCAGGTGCGCTTTGGCCCGCATCATCTTCATACTCATTTTCGATGATTGGAAGGGCTTTTGAACCCCGTAGAACGTTCCCTAATTTGCCAAAGATCTCACCGAGTTTTGTCTATTTTGGGAAATATTGTCACAAAACTAGTTCATTGCAATACTGTATTGCGTCGCTCATTCCTGAAAGGGGTGAAATTTACAGGCGAGCGCGAATGCAAACGGCAATTAGGCATTTTTATGTTGCTTTGATCCATAATGAAATGTGATGGTAATAGCATAGTAACTGTTGCATTAAAAGCAATGGTCTACGACGAACAATTGCCAGCAGTCGCGCTATTCTTGTTCTTAACTTTTTTGCTCAACAGATGTGCCAACCGATCGATGGACTCCATGGCAGCTGCACACAATGTTGGACACAAGATCTCTGTCGCCGACCAACACGTAACACATTTTGCGCAATTACCACCGTCACGGGATCTCGCAATTTTTTAGCAAACGTAGCAAATGAAATGGCAAATACATTATTGTGAGGTAAATTCAGTGCCGAAACTTCCGGCGCAGACCCCGCTGACTTCGGCACAGCCCGGGAAAGCTGCGCGAAGCTGGGTGGTCGACTCGCCGAGCTAGGCCAAGAAAACAACGGAGGGGATGAGGTTGCTTTTGGCGAAGATGATCTTCGAGCGAGGATGCATTTTTTGGCGTCCATAGCGCCCCCCGACGGCGCGTGGATTGGTCTGCAGCCCCTGCAAAGGACATGGGCATGGCTGGAGCCGGAGCGGCAGGTGGGGATTCGGAGATGGGTAAAAAAAATTATACATAAACGATAAATAAATAACAGAATTGAACAACAAAAGCTGTGGAGGCCAGGGAATGTTGGTTCATTCCCAGAACGTTACGCCACCGGGGCATGGTCCTCGGCCAAATAAGATGGGGTGGACTTATTGTGCGTGTTTCGCAGTGCGGGGATTAAACACCGGCACTGGCGCGGGTTGTGGGCAGCGAACAAATTTTGTTTTGTTAGGATGCGCCGAGTGTATTGCGTCTTTGCGAAGAAACTTTCGAGCTCTTCCGCTGATTGATGTCCGTCGTAAATTGATGATAAATTGATATTGATTGATTGATAATTTCTGAAACTTCTGGGCTGGTAGCTGAGCCAATGCCAGCGAAAGACAAGCTTTACATAAACGGTATGCCTGAACACAGACCAGCAACTAGCATGGTTGTATCTGTTCTAAAGCATCCAGTGACTCAACAATCACGCCATTCAAATTTCCACCAGTATCAAGTCTTAAAATTCCCCCGGCACCGCCGTTGCCTATTCCATAACTTCACCCAATGCATTCACACCACAACGTTCCAAGACGCTTCTGTACCTTTCCTGTCACCATCCCTGCAATTTTGAGCAGAACTGCGTCGATTGGCAATTGTATTCACTACAACACCCGGTACTTACCCAACACTGCGTTCGTTGATCCAATTGATTCAATTGATATGATTATCGCTCGGGGGCCAGGTTACCGCTGATGAAGGGAAGCTGCTTTGGTTCGTGGAGCCCCCCAAGAATGGCGTGTGCCGCGGCGGTTACATCGACCCGCGGGGCACAGCTCACAATGTTGGCAGCAGGTTTTGTCAGCACAAAACCGCCTCGATCTGCGAATTCAAGACACCTCCGGAGACGCTGCCTTCCCCATGTCAGGTAGCTCCAGAAAGCAAGATGAATCCTTGAATGTTGAAAATTTATGTGTTTGCAATCAATAGATTACCTTGATAAAAAGTTAACAGCACTGCAGCCACCCGCGTGCCAGGTAAGCTGGAGAGCCTGGGGCGCGAGTGCAGAGCCCGGGGCACACTTCGGTGGATTCACAACGACAGCTAAATAACCAGATTGTATGGCATGAGCGAGCTGTACTAGTAAAGAGTGTAGATTTTGTAAACTCCATAAGTAGTGGAGTTAATAAATTGCACAATTGTCAAATTGCGGAATCAAAATATTGCATTGTGAGTGAATCGCGGCATCGACTTCATTTGTGCATTCATGCACCGGAAGGGGAACGCTTCTTCGATGTCGCTAGTAGTGAGCCGTCATACGCTGTATGTGTAATACATAATATACTGTAACAATACTGTAACATATGCTGTATCTCGCTCTCTGCCAATCTGCGACTCCTCCGTTTCAATTTGCGACAGGGATCTCCGGAACGAGTGCTGGCCGAAGAGCTCGCGAACTTCACGGCTAAGGGCTGCCTGGTTTCCGACACCTGCAGCGCGGTCGAGAACGTCGTCATCGATGATTCCCTTTCTACCGCCGCCATCTGCGACAGGGGGCGGGAACTGGTGCAGGAAGAAGATATCCTGTGCTGCGCGGAGGAAGACTTGCCGCAAGAGTGCCTCGCTCAGGTTGAGGGGACGTGTTGTATTGCCTCGCTTGTGTTGCCAGTGGAAAACACCATCATGCCACGTCATTTTACTACTAGAAAATGCCATGTTTCCGAAGCCAACTGCGATGCCATTTTGGCACAAAGTGGTACCGTCACAGCGATTGCGATGGTACAAAAGGGGCTACGGTGGCATCAATCTGTGTCAAATTGCATCGCAGTTGCCATCGCAGACAGGATGCTTCATGATACTGTATGAAACTCATCGATGCCATGGCAGTTGCCCTGGCGTTGCCGTCATCAGTTATGGTGGCATCAATGCTTGTCAAAATGGCACTGCAGCCGGCGTCGTCGACTGTCTTTTCTGCCAGTGTACATACTCAAGAACCTGGCGCATTATTTTAAACTTAACATCTATCATGCCACACAATTAATGCCATCCCTATGCTCCACTCTTGTGCAAAATTTTCATTTGCATTTGTCAAGAGAATGCTTGCATTTGAGATGCGAATTGACGTTGCGACTACCAATTTATTTAGATCTCATGAACAATTACAACACAGAACACATTCCCAAATACAAGAACAAGAGCGGAGCACCAAACGCTATGACTTCTAGGACTTTCTTTGTCATTATGGTGCCTGCTTTGCATGCTCTTCTCTGGTGATGGGCACTCTTCCACGTTTGCACCGCCTCCTTTTCCGGAACTTCGAACTTCAGCCCAAACCAATTATGCTGATGAGTAGACTTCGAGCTGAAATTTCCAAGGGCAAACTAACCAAGGTACCATCAACCAAAATAGTGCGCTCGTCTTTGCTCAGGGACTGAATGTACTCCACTGTGTTTGCGACATGTGCATACGCACATATATTGATTGGTAATAACTCTCATATTTATTGGTGTCAAATCTCATGTTTTTGCAAAATAAAAACGAAGTTACCAAATTTTACCCATATCAGTTAGCAACTGTTTAGTCTGTAACAGTTGATTTACTAGCTTTCCTTTGTGTGCACAGCTTCAAGAGGAGCAAAGGGACGAGGCTGTACCGTCGGAGGTACGGTATGGGATCAAGATTCCGACATGCAGATTTCAAACTACAAAAAACCAAGATGAATATTTACATCAATATAACTTGACAACCAGTAGATTGAAAAGGCAAGAGCACCTTCTGACGTGTATACCCTATCCAAGCAATTGTCTCGGGCTTTTTTCTTTGATCGTTATATATTCGCGGGACTCTGAGAGCGGGGTTGGGCGAGGGATTCAGAGCTATTCTAGTGGATCAAATGCGCCCTCCCAATCGAAACAGAAACGGTGAAGAAAAGTAGAGACTATTTCAAAAGCACGCAATCTCGTCAACAAGTGCGCACCCGCGAGTATAGAAAACAGTCGCGATTTGATCAAAGTCGTTCGAAAACTAAACGCAGTCCCGAGGTGACGTAGCCGCCCGCATCCAGACGATGTGCTTCGCATCACATCTGGGACTGCCTTCCAGGAACCAACGCTGCTAACTGTACGTAATCGAATCATTTTAGACGCCATCTTCAACGCCGTGGCCATTCGAGGTCTGCAAGACCGAGCTCAGAGGCTAAACAAGTCCCCGAGGCCTGATAATGCAATGGTTGCCCTTTCGCATTTAAAGCGACAGTTGACATCGCATCGCAGGCCATGGCGCGGACATCCATGAACTTGCTGCTCACAGAGCCTCGCTTTCACCTTCATGCTGTGTTTGATCATTTCCCTGCACAACGCGCGTGAATCGCAATAAATGAGCACCACCTGTTGCAACACCTCTGATCTGCTCCTCGCAAGCGCTACCACGAAAGCGCATCGCTGCCTTTCCCCTCGTGACATGGTTTGCACCAGAAACGACAGCAGCAATTTCGTTCCAGTCACTGCTTCCTAGAATCTCCACCGAAGTGTGTCCCATGTCAGAAAATGTGCTGTCAAATCCATTGCCAGGTATTTCAACACCTTCAATGCACTCCCTCGTACACATCACATCACACATCACGCGCGTTTGTTTTCCAGCCTTTATGGGATTTCGCAATGCACGCATGGCTGTCTCAAATTTTGGGCAACGCGCGTTTGTTTCTTGTGGATCCGCAGCTTCCGAAAGTTATTTGGCCTGAGCACGATCTGCCTAAGTGACTGTATGGAAAGCTCCGACGGGGCGGTCAAAATGACTTGCTCAACTGATCCTTGAGGCCAATCCCAAATGTTGCGTATTCAGTTGCGCCTCGCAGTTTGTGGAGGCGCTGCGACAGCCAGTGCCGATCTTTGGCTTGCACCGTGTCTGCGCCTCATGTTTTGTTGGCCTGTGAGATATCCCGACGCTCCAGGCAGCCCATTGCTGGTTTTGCACCCGGACGCATGGACGCGGTGTTCTCGCCTGTGGGAGCGACTTTGGTCGCGCCTGGGTCCTTCCCGCTTCCGATCGCGTGTTTCTGTCGCGGGCAAGTGCCACGTGCAAAGCACATTTACAGCACGCCGGCGACCTTCACTCTGTCGGACTGAGAGCACTTGTGCCCCGCTTTTTATCCGAGATCTAGTCTCACTATTGTAAGATCCTTGATCTAGTTTCAGGAGCACAGCGGAACCATTTCCTCATCCCGGGTGGTGGGCGTTGCTGTCGGAGTGGCGATAGCGGGATTGGTGCTCGTGGTGCTGGTGGCAATGCTTGGAGCGGAGGTCAAAACGCCGGGGACCCTAAAGTCCCTTTGCGGCAGGCTTCAGAGAAGGTGCGCTGAAAGTGCGCCTCTCGTTTTATGAGAATTCTTTGTCAGATCAGTGTTTCGCTTTCAGTTGCATGTTGGAAATGTCAGGTTGTGCCACATCTGGCGCGGATGTACTGCATGGCGAGGCAAATCCATTCAAGATCTTATGCGTTGCAATCTGCTTGTTTCAATACTCACATGGTCCCTCATTCCATGCACGTAGTATCAGATAGGCCTCCTATCTCCGTATCCACAGCCGCTCTCCCTCCAAACTATATTTCAGAGCTCGCCTGCGTACAAGTACTCTCATATTTTGCCAATGCAACCGTATCGTGCAGCCATGGCCTGCTTCTCTTCCGCGAATCTGGAACACTAATTATAGATTTAAACAGTACAGATTTTCTCGTGACAGGATTCGGAACAGATTGGCCGAATTGGCATTGACCCTCTCGGTGAAAATTATATGAATGGATTTGCTATATCGAAGAATATCAACCCTAACTTTGATAAACATCCCAATGGGCATGTTGCCACCCATGGCAGACCACTAACACGGCATATTTCAATGCAAGGACAGAGATTCTTAGCCACGAGATGTGTTGACAATTCGAGCTTGTGTTTGGCAATCTTACTCCACAGGGGCGACATCCCCGGAGCCAGGCGCAGCATTCTAAGCGACGTTGAAATCGGGCTCCAAGACACCTCGCTCCGCGTCCCCGCCCCCCGAGTCACTGGACCCTGGGTCCCAGAGGCCCCAGTCGTTGGGCCGCAGGCAGCGGTCAACGACTTCCGTGCGCCTATGGATCCTTACTGGCCTTCGACGCCGGAGCCCCTCCAGATGTCGGCGCGACAGTCAACTTTGTCAGGAATGTTGAACTCGTCGACAAAGTCGAATGTGTCAATAGCATCGGCAAGATCTGCAGGTGCGCATTTGGAGTGAAAAAAAAATGGCGACGATTGGCATGGCGTTTCACCGGAAAGTGTTTGTTCGTTCGGTCTCCGAATTTAATTGAATTTCTCGGTCCCAATCTGAATTGAAACAAATTTTTGACGGATTCGTTTCGCATTGATCCCTGTCATCATTGTGTAAATTGTGTGACGCGCTTTGAGACGGGAGCAATCAACTTAACGACTACAGGTAATGTGTTTCTCCCTGTTGCGTCTTCACCAGCGATCGGCGGCACCTGGAGTCCAAGCAGCGGAAATTGTCGAAGAACTCGTTCCTTGCCAATGATCTCCGGGACAGGCGACGACTTGCGACGGACCGTGGCCAGCCTACAGGAATACAGCGACGACACGGGACTAACTGGAGCCAAAAAGGGACGGGAAAACGACGGCTTGTGGCTGAGAAGCGGTGCCTGGCGCCGTATCGGAGACGAATCACAAGTGGCCGGCGACGTCACGGAAACCACTGGAAGGGATTTGCGCCGATACGGAGAACAGACGAGAGATAACAGTTGGCTTCTGGGCGAAGGAGAATGCAGCAGATTGGGCGGAGAAAGCGCGCTATCGCCATTTGAAGTAATTTCGAGCGACACCAGAGGGCTGTGGGCACTGGGGTCTAATGGCAAAGAGGCGCAGAGCGACCTGAACGGCTGGGAATGCCGAGAGTGTCTTAGGCACCGATGGGCACCCCCCATACTGGGTATCGAAAACGTGTCCGTGATAGAGGGCGGGAAGTGTTTCAGTGGCGCTCACGGAACCGTTCGGGAGGGCGTTTGGTTGGAAGGCCCAAAAAGCGCCCACAGGGTGGCCATTAAAACTGCGAGAGGGGAGGACTACACCGAGTTATTGAAAAAGGAATTTGAGATTTTGAGTAGCCTGCCGTATCACCGAAACGTGGTGTGGGTGATCGGTGCGCGCCTGGGTGGCGACCCCGCCATAGTGGAGGAGTGGATGGACACGAACCTCGAGGCGCGCATGGGGGACATGACCGTGCACTTCACGTGCATGGACATTCTGAGGATCGGGCTGGACGTGGCGAGGGGGATGAGTCATCTGCACGACAACGGGGTGACCCACTTCGACATCAAGCCGTCGAACATTCTGCTGGACCGGGAGGACGGCGCGAAGCTGGCGGACTTTACGTGCTCCAGGCGGAAGCTGACGTCCACGATATCGGCCGAGGGGCGCGGCACGCTGGGATACGTGGCGCCGGAGATTCTGAAACACGCGCTGAGAAAGGGCCGATTCCGCGCTCAGGTATGCATCGCTTGCCCGGACGGAGTGGAAGCAAAGAACCGGAGAAAAGCCCGTTGTCCAAACAATACGTTGTCCGATTCACTGGTAGAGAGCGGCTAGTTTGCGATGCCATTTTCGCGCGCAACGGCAACGTTACAGTGACTGCGATGGCATCAATTTGTGTCAAGCAGCATCGCAGCTGGCATCTCAATCACGCCGTTTTCTACTGATGATTGTTATTATTCTGGATATGTTCGACTACCATTACTCCGGATATGAAGGGTCGTGAAGAGTACGAGAGCGTAGAAGGCTTAAAAGCTAAGTACTCTAAAGCCCACAGAAAATTTCCATGTCCCTCATGGTCTCATAATGTTCTTGCTTGGAAGTGAAGAGTCCGGATGTCTGTGCCTTCCCAGCTCTGCGAGATACTAGGGCAATGAACTTTGTGTGTTGGGGGACTTGATCCGACCCGAATCGCATCAAATTGCACCTAGGTTTCTTCGAGATATCGAACAAAGTCCCCGCGAACAGAGATTAGCCGCTCACTAGTCTCCCGAACGTTGGTGCCTACTGCTTTCTAATTATGTGCACGACGCCATGGGCTCGTGTTCTTGGAATTCCCACACTGCGAATAACATCGCCAAGTTGTGGCTGCACGCTAGCAAAAGAGCAAAGTAGTACTAGATGTATTTCTGATGAGAGCTCTTTCGGTCTTGGTACATTGCGACCATGCGATGCAACCGCGTTATGACATCTAGATGGTGTAACCCATCATCCGATACATGCACATCCGCGCACATCGTTCAATACTTTGCAACATCTGTTTTCCGACGCCAGGGACCCAAACCCCACTTCCCCGCAGAGAAGATCGACGTCTACAGCTTCGGCAAAGTACTACTGAAGTGCCTCACCGGGGATCTTCGCCATGCCGGGAGTCAGGCTGAGAGGGCCAGGCGATCCTACCCTGATCTCTGGGATCTGATCTGCCGGTGCACTGCAGTTGACCCTGTTGACCGATCAACGTGCAGGGAGGTGGTGGCGGCGCTCGAGGGCATGGTGGAAGGGGGCGGGGATTGGAGGGCGGGGCGGCCGAGGGAGGAGATCTGGCTGGAGTCGACGAGGCTGTAAAGTACTTAGTTGGGGAGGGTGGGCATTTTGCATGTGTCCATTCAAGCCACAAGTACAAGAACAGGGGCACGGAATCGGCTACCCCTTGGGAATTTTCTAGTTTGCAAATAGCGGAGGTTTGAAATTTACAATATCCAACCCTAAAACTTTGTGGCATTCGCTGGCGTGCGATTCTGAATTAGAAAGGAACATTGCTTCGTTAGTGGTTGATCCCAAAACGTGTGCATCCTGGAGGCGTCCATTTATTGTAGATATCGTATAGATGCAGAGGATGCTCATTTTCCGTACGTGTATTACAAAAAGAACAAGTTATCAGGGCGAGCCGTGCATGAGCTGCTAGCTATCCACCATCTTTAGGCTTCTCACACACGCGTCGCGCATCCAATTGCTGGTGCAACGACACCAGCGCAGGCCATTTACAGCATCCAAAATCCAGAAAGAATGGAGATGGTTACATGCACAAATTGCTTCTGAAATGTCACGTGAATATACAAAGAGAAGCGAGATAATTTCCCATGCCGCGGGAGAAAAGAATCGCCACTTACACTGACACCACATATACATGCAGTGCATGTGCGCTTTAGTACAAGTTTCTCGGCAGAGTTTGTATCATAAAATACTCTGCGATGGTCGATTGTTCAGCAGGCCATGACAGAGCTCAACGGATCCCGAATCCATTCCTCAAATTTCCACACAAAGAAGCTCGATACCTCCTTAAGCTCAGCCCCCATTCCAGCATCATGGCAAACTGGTGTGTCACCCTCCGTTGGCCACAAATCAGCAACGTGGAATGCGCACATCCCACATCCCGAGCTTTCCTAACCCAATCCACTGCATCACCTATACCCTCTTTCGCCATGCTTTCAAAGCGCTCCCCGACTTGCTGGCAGCTCGGGCGGCCCTCGGCATCCATTCTGGTGCAATCGCAAACCAAATTCCACAGACGGAGCGGACGCGCTCTTGCCGCGCCCCTCACCTTCTCGTTACCCAGACCGCCAGCAACACAACTCATCAACACCTTGCCCAGACTGTACATGTCTATTTTCTCGGCCCGCGCGCAGCCTCAATCTGGTGGCCCCGCCTTGTATGCACTCCAGCGTCATGTACCCCAACGGTCCACGCCTCGTGGCATAGATCAAGGACGACATCTTGAACACCAAGCACGCAAAGTCTGCTAGCTTGGCGTTGCGCCTCTCGTCCAGGAGTATGTTGGCCGGCTTGACGTCATAGTGCCTTATCCGATTCTTGTGAAGATGCAACAGGCGCTTTGCCACGTCCAGGCTGATCCTCGCCACTTCCCCGTAGCTTGGCCTTGGCCTTATTTCTGCGAGGTCTTTCAGAAACATGGGTATTCACTCTTCCACGATGACCGGCTCCTGCCCTGGACGCACGCCTATGACACGGACGACATTCGAGTAGCGGGGAAGCCTGGCCAAGATCTCCATATCCTTGTGGGTGATCGCGAGGCACTTATTGCTCCCAGCCATCTTCACGGTTCTGACGGCAACGCTGTGTGTGATGCCTTCCTTGTCCCGCCACACGCCCTCCTTCAAGCTGCCATGCGTTCCAACGGATTCCTTTCCAGCTTTCAAAACGGCGACGTTGTTTGTGCCTGAAATCTGCAGCGCCTGGATTACTCCTTTCGCTGGTTGCGATTGCTGCATGATGAGGTGCGTTTCTCCCGGCCCCTCTGCCGCTCGTTCCTTGGACTCTCCGCTTCGCATTTACTTGCTTCAGGGATTCTGACACTGCGCCTTCCCCTGGACTGCGCGCCACGAGTCACTGAACTGGCTTAGATGAACACATAAATAACTTGTGATAAAGATGATGAAAGTAATTCACTTGCTTACTACAACTTGATGGATGACAGTGAACGAAGTGGAACATCCGCCGTTCGCGTTGTTTGGTAACGAATGGGGCCAAAAACCTTGAGAGTAGGCATTTCTCCATGCACTCTCAAGCGCATTGCCATTCACATTGATAATATTGACAACAGTGTTACTTCAGTCGGGAATTAGAACTACTACATTCGACGAAAGCAAATTTACATCATCGCAAAATTCTTTCTGCTTCTGCCATCATCCACGTCTGATGTGACACTCGGAAAAACGCGCAACGCAAATTCAAGCGTGTCACCACTGTGGGTCCCATTGACAGGGACCCCATCTCAAAGCAGCATTGCTGCGTTGGCAGCCGAGGCATTGTCGGCATGTGCATTCTATTGCCACGATTCATCTAGTCATGATCTACCCAAACTTAATTTACGGTCGATTCTGCATGTTTTGACGTCCCAAACCAAGTTTTCTGTCCATTGCATCTCACTCGCAGAGGGCGATCTGCTTTTTCCGTCACCCAAACATAGTAAAAAGTCAATTTTATTGCTGTGCATGGCAGCTCAATAGAGGGTGCAAGGCATGGCGAGCAGGGCACTGCGTGCTGTCTGGCCATAGTGAAGGTGGATAGAATAGAGAAGTGCCTAGCAGCCGTAGACAAGAAGGATGAGATCTTGGTCAGGGCTCCTCCATGGAAACGTTGTCCAGGTGATATGCATGCATCCGGTAATGGCGCCGCTGGTTGTGGAAGAGCGGATGCCCATGACTCTGAAAGACCAGCTCGCTAAACTACAGGTTGTTCTGAGTGGCGAGGAGTGCGTGAGGATCACCTTGGATGTGGCAAAGTTCTTTCGCCATGTTACCAAATACCGGGTGGCTCAGTCCGTCATCAAGTTGGGTAACATTCTAACAGACAAAGAACACAATGCCTATCGGCGGATTTCACACGCTTGGTGTGCAATACACCATTGATGGCATATGCTACATGCAATGCCACAAAGGGGTACATGGGTCCGGAGAGCTTTTAAGATAGTATCCCTTGATTGAAACCTGTGCACGGGTGGCAAATTTAGATGTGCACAGCATGGCAAAGGCGACGCAAATTTGCGCCACCAGTGATTGGGAGCATGGAGCAATGCCGTTTAGGCTTGCGTCATCCCCACCTGTGGATTTGATGTATTATTTCATTGAAACCAATTCAGCGAGTCGTTCCAGCTACCAAGATGTAGTAGAGCAGCTTGATACAATGGTAAAAGACAGATGATGTGAGTTTGCTGATCGAGGGAAAAGCACCGCTGTATTTGAGCAGTTGGTACATGCTGTCACTAGTACTGCCTTGCGTAGGACAGATCCATAATAAGATCCAAGCAATTAGTATTGGAATGGCCACCCATTTGAATACTATCCAAGCAATTTTGTCTGCGAACGGAAGGCTGTGAAAAATCAGTGCAATCAAACCTGTTGTGATTGCAGACACAATGCCATTATCCCTCCAATTCAAGGATGATCAGCAGTGGATGGAAAATAAACCATGAAAAGATGAATCCTTCCTGAAGGCCCTTCACGACTACCAAATATCAATGGTCCTTCCAGGATCCTTCCTTCTTGGCTAGTTATTTAATGACTTGAGAATAGGCACAGTTTAGCCAGGCGCATTGACACCTCTCAGATTGTTTTAGATGTCAAATTTCTCATTCCATCTGGTGCACAAACAATACCATAAATTAATGTTGTCTCTGCCAAGCACAACCATAAAAAGTGGCGGTGTGCAATTTGAACCCGTGATTGAGTTATGGCTATTTATTTCTATTGTGTAGTATTGGAAATCTCTTGCATTAGGGTCTTTGTGGCTGTGTGAGTAACTGTGAAATGTTTTGTAGCTGCAACACCATGCTGTGAGCGGTTCATTTGTGCTTCCAATATTATTGCTCCCAATGGCTGCGCTATAATGCACTTGCTCATCATCTTACCTGCACATTACACGTATATTTTCTCTGCTTGCACGCTGGGTATGGATTTGGTCATCCCTTCGTTTATGCTTTCTGGCACCATGTACCTTTAAACTCATGCTGTACCATGAAACATGGCATCAATGGGCAGTCTCTCAATTTAGCATTGTGCCCCTCACGTGGCTTGATGTCATAGTGAGTCATGCGGTATTTATGAAGGTGGGAGATGACTGGGCCACATCCAAGCTGATCATCAATATCTCCTGGTAGCTCAGCCCATCCCTGTTTATACAAGCGCGTCTTTCAAAGTAATGGGCATACACTCTTCCACAATGATCGGCCCGATCCCCTGCATGCATGCCTACCGCTTGACGACATTTGGATGGTGAGGAAGCCTGCCCAAGATCTCCACCTCTTTGGTGATGGTCTCTAGGCACTGCTCATGATGCCGCTTGCCCAGTGTGACTCCCCAGTGTGCCCCAACAGATTCCTTTTCGCACTCTAGAGTGCGGTGATGTTGATTGACGGAGGACACCACACAGTATTATATACAAGAGGTGGACTTCATAACATTGGGGTAACATCACATGCACTGAAATGTGACATTGTGTGAGGGATTTTCGCGAATGGGATGTTGGCGCGAATGGCAGCTCACCGTTGGACCCCTTTGTTCCCTCCCCAGCTCCGTTAGGGCTTTAGTTATCGTCCCAGCGACCGTGTCGTGGGAGACTCCGCCAATACCTCCCGGGCAATCGCGTGCAGAGGCGCCGAAAACAAGCAAGCCGGGTGATGAAAAGAAAGATAGAAAGACCGGTCTTTCCGCCGGATCGGTGCGCGGTCACCTCGAGTCGCCACGCAAAATCGCCAGGAGTTCCGCGCGGAGCAATGCCGCTCGCCGACGTGCTCGGAGCTCCAGAAGGCCACAACCAACCGCCAGCTCCCAAGGGCCCCTGTTGGTCTCTCCAAACGCAACCTCCGGCATGCTGGCAAATCCCACAGAGCTGCCCGTCGCTCCAACGAACAAGAGCACCCCTAACCACACGGCTTGCCGGCGTCCCGCAGCCGCCGGCCGCCCATTTTCGACACCATTTCGAAAATCCGCCCTCACGACAAAACAGGGGATTGGCAGTTCTTCTCCCCTTTCCGAAAAGCGCCCACCTCCCTCACCTGACGGTGCCCTCAGTCGGGCTTGCAATGGATGATTCTCGCTGCCTTGCCCGCCAACTCCCCGTCTAGATCGCGCTCCCGTCCAATGTCGACGCACCGCCTGCCCGGAAAGACGTTGCCCAAGGTGAGGTGGCTGCAGCCTTGCTCCTCCACTAAATCCTACGACCGGCGCAACCGGTCAACGAGGTCCGCGTCCGCTCTCCCGAGCATCTGGGTGTACATGGACTGGTTCTCCTAGGGGTTGGCGGCGGCTTTGTGCGTCCAAATTCGAGAAGGGAATGCCAGCAACAGGCGGACCGCGGGGGGCCGCCCGCCATTTTTCCCGCGCCCCAGGGATTCGAGAAGGTTCGCTGTCGCAGGCAGGGTCGCCCTGACCGCTGAGGCCCAACCGGAGGGCTCATTTGGTGGCTGGCTTACGCGGCTCGCACCGGGGGGCCAGCTTGGACATTAGGCAGCTGCCCCGGCACAGTTGCCAATGAGGTGCGGCCGGCGCTGACCCAGGCGGGCACCGGTGCGGACGACAAGGGGCGGGAATCACGGAATCATTCGGACTGACGGATTGACCAAATCCGATATCGACCACGTCAGTGCCCCCGTCGGCCGGATGGGCTCGCCGCCGCGAGTGGGGGGGTGGCTATCACGACCTGACTAACTCTGGCTGCCAGAGGCGCCTGGCAGACGTAATGGCCATCAATGGCCTCACAGCGTCGCCGGGTGATGGCGCAAGCCAGGCTTACCTTCCCTCCAGGCCACAGGGCACACACCCCGTGGCCACAAGAGGCCGCGGCCCCGGCCTCGGCCTTCCTCTGATTCCGAAGATCCTCATTCCCAATATGGCCCTAAGCCATTACAGGAAATTCCCAACGAGTCCTCATTCGAACCAGGGTTAGGAATGGGATTGGGACCCGCCCCCCGGCGCCGACATCGCGTCTGGGACGCGGTGGGCGCCCTTGACGCCATTGGGCGTGCCCTCTCGCGTCCGCCACACAAGGCTTGCCAAGTCTCCCCAATCCCCAAATTTCCAAAATTCTCCAATCCGAAGTTTGCCAAGTCTGCCACATCGTTGCCGGTGCCGCGTCCACGGTGCAATACCGCGGCTCCCCACCCGCTTGGCAGAGCAGCGCGGCCGGTGTCCCTAGGCACCGCCGCCAGTATTCAAAAAGCAGCGTTCCCCAGCGATGCGAAGCACGCGATTTATCTTGGGCGCATTCTAGAAGGGAAGCAGATGTGGGGGCACCGCCGTGGGCGCGGCACTCAAAGCCGATGAGTCCCGCCGACTGATGTGAGGAGCGCGCTCGCGGATGGCGGGAACCCTGCCGAGGTTTGCAAAAACTGGCGGACATGGCGTCAATGCAATATTGCACTCACCAACTTGGCGATGCCACACAGCGGCTTGGAGGGATTCCGCCCGCGTCCGGCCCTTATCTCGACGCCGGCGTCGGCATGTGGGGATCCTCGGGGAGCGTCGGAACTGAAGCCGAGGCCCTTTTTTGGCGGGCTGCCGCAGACGCAAACAACGTCGTTGGTCATAGGTCAACGTTGACTTTGAATTCTGGATGTGGCGCGCGGCACGCAGCAGGATGGTGAGCTGGCGGGTGGGCTGTGGCGGCCACGAAGGGAGTAGGCGGTATCGCAAGCCAAACGCAATCCATCTCAAAAAGGCAACCACGGGCGCCAACCGCTGTGTGTGTGGGGCGCCCTGCAATAAAGGCTTCCGAAATGAAAGAGGGACCATGCTCCTGTCACCATTCGGTTTCGGGCCGCCAAACGGCACCGTTTTGCCAACCCACCAGGAGAAAGGAAACTCCCAAGAGATCAAACGGAAAGGCCACAGCCTCTGCACGAACGGCGAACTGCGCTCCCCGGGGATGGCGGCTGGATGTCCCGGATCGATGTCGGAATTGAGGCTCCGGCGGCCTCGACAGTCCGCAGACGCGCTGGACGATGGGTGGATTGAAGCTAGCCGCCTCTGGCGGACCGCAGCCTCAGCAAAAAGTGAGATCGCGCCTTCAGCAAATTTCCATTCTGCCCTCTCTCCGGGCCCCCTTCAGCGAATCCACTCTCTCCCCTCTGATCGGCGACTCCACCATCTGCCCTCTCCTCAGCAGGTATGCCCCCGCCCTCTCTTTAACATATCTTCGTGCTGGGCTCTCTTCAGCCAATCTGCCCTCTCCGGCCTCTCTCCGCCCTTTTATGAGAGGGGCTCCACTGCAACTGACTGTTGACCCTTGGCCTGCTGACTGTGCGCCGTTGCGCGCAGCTGTGACCGCACCACGCGGTTGAGCGCCCAACTATCGGAGGCCGAACACAACCTCCAATGGGCGCTGCCCGCGCTTTGAACGAGTTTGAGACGGGAGGGACAGTATGACCAGCCGCTAGGGGTGGAAGGTTCCGGGGCCGGAGACAAGTGACTTGGGGATGGTGTTTGAAATGGGGCTATTGGATAGAGTTGATTGGTGCTCTGCTGGCGCCCGTGGAGGCACGCGACCCGTTGCGTCACCCTGTCACCCGCCCGCTGAACGGTCCAGAAGCGACTCCGCCGATGTCACGTGACCGTGGAGGCGGACGTATGGAGTAGTGCATTGGCGCTTCAGTATCATTGGCCAATCCGTGTGTTCCAGTAGATTGGGCTCTGGGTGTACATTGCATGGTCTATCGAAGGGACCACGATTTCAGCAAAAACAATTGGATGCCATGGGGATGTAAGTTGAAGATGCATAATGTGTTGAAGACTTTCTTCCGCCCAGAACTGAATGCCACCTTTCTTTTAGGAAGGCGTTCTTATGTCCCGCAATTGCCAATCTTGTCCTGCAAGATCTGCCACAACAGTGCCGCCCGTGTGTTTACCAAATGCCCTTTGCAGGTTGGGCCTTTTCCCGGAACATGACCTTTGCTTTGCCAACTGCACAAGGGATCTTTTGTGTTTGGAAATCCGGCGTTCCGCCAAGTCTGCCACAACGACATTTTGCGAACGCGATGCTGCCAAGGGCGAGATAAGGCCAGCTATCAACAGCAGGGCGTGAAGTCTGGAAGCAAACTGTGGTCATTCCTCTGTGCAGGAAACCAAAGTATCGCCAAAGGCGGATGTGCTGGCTGAACACCACTGGCGCCCATTCCATGGCTGCTCATCTCGCTTCCGAAGACGCTGCTGTTAGAACGATTTACCGACACCCATGCCAGGTGGCAGAGCGCTGAACCGCCAGACACTCGGGTCTTTCAATTCGCACCCCCAACTTCCATCGTGGTGCTAGGAGGTTCGTGCCATTTCGCAAGAGATTTTAGGTGCACCTCACAGTCCCATGAATCGGAGATCGGAGGAAAGAGAGTTTTCTGCACATGCAGACATTGGGTCGGTAGCTGTGGGGGGCGCGAAAGGCTATTGGTAGCTGCGGATCCAAGAAATGTTGTCGCGTAGCTGCACAGGATGGGCCAAACATTCCATGTTTGCCTTTCGCTGATGCACGTGACAAATATACCAAAGAGACTCTTTTAGGTACAAATCGCGAATGCAATAGAACAAGCTGTTGTACCGCGGCAGGCGATGATGGCGGAAGCTTGGGGCATCGGGCATTACGGCTCCGTTGGCAGGTTTGCGCTTCCCCGGCGTCCCACCCACACTTTTGCACCCAAGTACAGTCTGATGCGCCGCCGCCATGACACATGCATTTCACAGCAGCGTCCAGGCGCATTGCCTGCCCCAACATTCCCCAGAACCTCCAGAACATATTGCACGGAGTCACTCACAAACACACCAGATCTTTGCCTTGGGCCTCCTAAGTCTCCACTCATCGAGCCCGCTTCCGCTCCCCTCCAACATGCCACGGAGCCCCTCGACGACCTGCTCAGAACCTGGTCGATCCTCTGGTCGGCGCTCAACGCACGTGTGCACCAATTCCCACAACGACGCGGGGCACAGCCTCTCCGCAGTCGCGCTTTCTACTTCTAGACTCCCCGTGATGCACTTTATTAGAACTTTGCCCAGGCTGTAAACATCGATTTTTTCGGCGTCAGCCTGCGGCTGGCTGGAGTCACTGACAGCGAGCTCACCGGCTCCCCCTGCCTGAAGGCACTCTGGTGCTATGTACCCGGGAGTCCCACGGGAAGCGGCGCAAACGTTCAACATGCCAGTCTGCCTGGATTCCGAAGACCCCGCTAGCATCGCGTTCCGAGTCTCGTCCAGCAGTATGCCGGAAGGGGTGATATCGAAATGGGCGAAACCGTGCTCATGCAGGTGGCGCATGCCCCTGGCGACGTCCAGCCCAATCTTCACTATGTCGCCGTAGGTCAGGCCAAATCTGGATTCGCACAGCAGCCGCCCGAGATTCGTGGCCATCAGCTCCTCGACGATCACGGGGTCATCCCCCATCCGGCCGCCGAACACCCACACGATATTTGGGTGGTGAGGCACGGTGGTCAGCGCGCTGCATTCCCTGTTTATTGCCTGCACGCTGGCTTTGTCTCTTTTGTCTACGGGGGACTTTATGGCCACCTTCCAGACACGTCCGTCTTTGTCGAAGCACACGCCCTCTCTGACGGCGCCGTGCCTGCCCCGGCTCTGCCATCCGCCCCTCAGGACGATGGCGTCATCTATGCTCATAATGGGCTTGTCGAGATTTTTGTGGGTACTGTGGACTTTGGACCTGAGAGATTTCTTTTGGAAGCTGTTTTCAGGCAAATGAGTGTTGGCGTTCGCGCCGGCCTTCCTGGGGCGATTTTCTTTGGCTCTCCTGTGCTGTCTCCTGCACAGTGAAGAGCAAACGTGAAGCGACGAAAATGAGCACAATCCAACAACGCAAAGCATACACACCACTGGAACTGCGCACTTTGTCCAATTGTCTGCCTGCTTCAATCGCGCTGCTATTTCAGAATTCGAATTCGATGCACGCAGCTTGTGGCAGGCAACACACAATCACGTTCTTATTCTCATTCCTTTGTAATCCCGCATGTCAGCTTGGAGCACGTGGCATCCACGAGAGATGGCTAAGCTAAGCTAGGAAACAAGAGAGCTCAGATAGAGAGAGAAACTTTGCTGATGAAAAAGATTCAAAAAAGAATGAGACAGCAATAAACTGGGGACAACCTCGATTGCAATGGCATTGCTTTCTCTGCCGCATTATGCACTATTTGTCGCATCGATCCGAGTACCCTGGAGAGAATCTGCTGGAGTGCTCACAGGAATGTGTGCGGAATGGACAAAAGCCGCTGTGCTTTCAGTAGCCATAAAGGCGTGAAGGGCTTCCATTCCAGAATGCTTGGGACACATGCGTTCGACGTGCTTTTGTAGACAAGTGACTCAATCCCGCACTGCACACTGAAACAGGTGTTCCCACAACAGCAATTACTTAAAAAGATGTAGCACTGTACAACAAGGCATCTAAAAAACAAAGCCTCGCGTGGCAGTACAGAGCGGATTTGTCCCTCACCTTTTCACAGAATTCGCATATAACTGTGCAACGCAGCCTGGAGCCTTCACCTCTACAATGGCCATTATTGTGAAGATAGCCAGGAGAAGGACGTCCATCAGGGTCCGGGTGAACAATTTTATGGAGGGCCAGTAGTCATCCTGATGTTTGAAGGACAGAGTTTTGTCAGCAATTAATCAATCACAGAATTGCCGCTCTTGTATTTGTACATGCCGAGATGCTCATACAGTGCGAATCTAAAAGCAGGCAACAATCTGTGGGTCAGACTCTGTTGGGTCATCTTTGGCGAAACCAAAGCGCTTGCCTCATGCCTGCATCCCCCCTTCCCCTTTCCCAGTAGAAAAGGACGCGCCTTTCTTTACCATGTCGAGACATTCATGCGAATGAAACATTCGGTCCCTTACGGCCTCACTATTTTCCTCCACCGCGCACCAGTATGAAGGGGCGGGGGACGCCACGTGTGCGATGCCACCCATCCCGAGGACGTAGGTTTGAGGTTCAGGGGAATGCGCGGGACGCCATATACCCGTCCCGAGACCAAAAAGTCCGAGGGATACATAGGGATGTCGTCGACCGCAACGGCGTCGGCGCAGCCTCCGGGCAGCGGGGGTTTGCCGGAGGGAATGCGACGTAAAGGCCTCAAAACGGTGCAATTAACAGGGCGTCGCCTGTAATTGGGACTTGACAAGGGCATTAAATTGAGCGCAGGCCCGACCGACGGCTGCGTGCGCCAGCCCCTCCGCTTTTGATGCGCATCTCTCACCCCAAACCCAGACCCAACCCCACAACGCTATCCCTATCCGCGTTGGGATAAGCCGCGGGCCCGCGCCCCCCTCCCCCGACTCCCCTCGTTTCGGGAAGCGGCCTGGCTGTGCCGGGACGACAGCACCGCGCCGCTGCGCCCGCAGACTCGGCCGGGGCGAAGGCGAGGCGCCCGCGAGGCCAACCAAAATGAACGTCACGCGGCTGTGTTGACCCACACGACTGACGTCAACGGCGTCATCGTCGACCACCTCGGGCCCAAGGAGACTGGTGGGGTGGCTGACGATGCGAGGGCTCGCGGGATGAGCGCAGAACGCCGTTTTTTCTCGCAGCTTTGCGTGGCGGAATCGGTGCATCTTTCTGAGGATGCCGCCTCGCTCACTGGCAGGGGGGCGGGGTGGGGGATTTCCATATGCCGCTCACTCTGTGCTAAAGGGGCGCCCATCCAGCCGCGGCGCGGGAGCGGCAATCTCGCAAAGTCTGCGGAGCGCGTCCCCGGCGCCAGCCCTTCGAGGGAGGTCAGTGGCGTTGACAAACCATCTATCGCCGGATCCACAGGCCCCCCTTTTCAAAACCGGCCCAAGGCGAGTCCGGAGGATTCTCACACTTCCCACCCCGGGCTGCTCCGCCGGCACACGGCTCACAGCGCGACTAGCAACGGAAGAAAATAGCGAAGTCGGCAGAGAGGCCATTCCAGCCCGCCCAGTCTCCCGCAGGCCGGGAGGAGATTGTGTCAGCTCACCGCCGGCGCCCCACAGTCGGACTGCCCGCAGTGCCCGCCATCCTCCGGAGGACGGCCGTCTTCGAGCCACGCTCCAACACCAAGCGGAAAACTGCCGCCGCCAAAAAATCTGCCTAAAAACAGGAAACCCACGGCGACTAGAGACACGGCTGAGAGAGGCAGGCCTGGGTGGTTCCCCCCCGGGTGGATCGGCATCTGCCCTGGGGTGGTGAAAACCTTGCGGGGGTCCGGAGAGTCGATCCGTTGGGTCAGTTTGCAAGTAAACGCCCTGGGGCGACTTGGGCAGCGCCGATTGACTTGTGGGCGCCGCCGACTTGTGTGCCGCGGCGGGCGCCTCGGCGCCCCGCAAGTTGACCAACCGTTTGATGGCCGGTCCGCGGTCAAATCCCATTGGCCGAATTTCCGGCTCAAAAATTCTCAGTCAGAATTGGTAATTCGCCGGGCCGCGGGGTGTGCGGATGGCCCGGCCGTGGCCCGGACGCATGTACTTTATCGGCATCTGCTGGACGCAGTACTTTCCGCACTGCTTGTTGCAGTACTTTGCGCAGTGCTTCCCGCCCGGGAGGCGGGCTTGCGGTTTGCGGTTCCGAAATGCCGGCACCCCTGAGAGCGCAGAAGAGACTGATGCCGGTGAACGAGGCGCGCCTGAACTGGTGGAACCGTAGATGATCCGCGAGAGAGGGCGTGTGGGAGAATTGGTGGTCCTTTGATGCAGTGTGTCGACAGCATGTCGGACCGAGGGTGTCGTTGCGGGACTCGAGGGTGTCGCATGTCGGAATCCGGCTGGACAGGCTCGCCCAGGGATGTGACGTGGCGGATTCGAGAATCCAGTTGAATTAAGTAAGTCCAGCGAATCCGATGAAAGGCTGAGCGCAGGCCGATTTTCGAAGTTCCGATGCTTCCAAGCACCGAGCAAACAGTGCAGGATGGTCTGGGCGCAAAGTGGTACGCCTCCTGGCGCTGGTTGATGGGTGGTGGAGGCTTTTATGGAGCTGCCCACTACCTCGCGGTTTTACAAACTGTGCCCGCGCTTCCTCCCAGCGCAGATAACGGCGCTCAGGGCGGCCGGGGGGAGGGACGGATCAGGCCGATCAGGCTTAAGTCCTGGGCTGAGAGACACGTGGTACCATCACGGCACCTCAAAATTTGCGTACAAGTTGATGCAACGCTGTGGGTGCATTGTCCTTGATGCAGTGCCGAGCAGCACCGCAGCAGGTCCTGTTTGTCGGCGCCGGTACAGCCGTGACAGACACACATCAACGCTCGTCACTTTGGACATAAGAGCATGTGTTGCAGCTATATTCCTGAGTGGGATGGAGAAGATTGGAATCAAGACGTGGGAGTCCATGAGGTGGGCAGGCGCTCGCCGTCCCCCCCCTCGTAAGCGCCATCCTTGTCGCCGTTCCCGGAATGAAGATACATAGCACAGGCAACACGGCGCCCACTTCGACCTAAGTAAGGGAAACGACGCCGTCGAACGAAAGGTCGTTTCCTGCATATTTCAGCCCATCCAGCTCCACTCCCCGGATACCCTGAGTCGGCATGTACTGTCTTAAGTACACAGGGGCCATTTTTACGCATTTCAATGCGTATTCGTATGTATAAAACGTAAAAATTACGAGTAAATGCGCGCAAATAATCGTGAATACGCGACCGTTTACGCCGCAAGCAACAAGCTATCGCCCGAGCATAGCACTCTCGTGGGTGGACCCGCACAGGGCTTAGTGCTCCATCAGCTTAGTGCTACACTACAAGGCTTGCAACACGTACTCCCGCGGGGCTGGCGACACATGGGCGCGCACTTGCTCGTGCCACTTCGCCTGAAACCGAGCCAGTGGTCCGCCGCAGGCCAGCATGCCATCGTTGGCGCAGCAGCCCGATGTCTCTCAGGCATGTGTCATCGTTATAGCATCACATCGTCATGAGGTCCTAACAGACCGTTTGCAGACTCCATCCCACGGTCCCCACCGCCGCGTTCCTCGTAGGAACGTCCTATACCCTAATAGGAACTTCCTATTTCTCTGTTTCCCCGACATCCTGGATGTTCTTTTCAGGCTTGTTGTTTATGTTGACGACTCCATTTCCACGTTTATCATTTTTTGTGCGCAAATAGCCGTAAATAGAAAAGTGTTTAGGTCGTAAATTCCAAGCCTGTCTTTTCGCCCGCATCGCCCAACACCTCGAACGTGTGACCGCCCGCGGAGGGTCCTGTGACAACTTGCCACTGGCACCTCAAAGACTGCCGGCCTTGAAGGGCGGCACTCGTCAAAGGGCACCCCTTGTCGTTCCCAACGCACGGGTTTACGCAAACAAGCTCAAACGCCCCTCGCACGCTTACGTCAGCGATTCGGAACCCAAACGTGTGGGGGGCGTGCCACGCGACGTTCGAGTGACCGCCTCACTTGTCGACCACTACGCGTGCAAGCTTGCTGTACGGCCAGTACACACAGGTTGTACACAAGGCGTTGACACCGAGAGGTCACAGCAGTACGTGCTGCTGACGTAAATGGCACGAAACGGCCACGCGGCCAGTGCCAGAGACGACTTTCCGGCATCCGGTACATTTTCCAACTTGAAACGGCGCCCAGCCCCGCCAAGCGATGCACGCCACGCATCAACAGCAGCTGATTCTCCCAAATGACCTCATCTGTAACTCATTTGCGGTCGACCTGCAGTTCACATGGGCTGCTTTCTTGGCTCCGTTTCTCCACAGGCCGTTAGTAGTTCCCCACCGCAAAGCGCGCGCCGGGAGGGAGTACTGCGCAAAGTAGTGGTTCTGCTGACTCCTCATAAGTCACTGCTGTAGAGCAGAAAAAAACGACAATCGCGGCGGACGTACCGTGGCTCGCCCGGCCCTGTCCTCTCAAATTGGTCGCCCGCCATCTCCCACAAGCCCCTGCCGACGCCGCACGGCAGCCCACAGCACAGAGGGCCGGCCCTTGGGTCAGTGCAAGTCGCCCACCAGCGTTGACTTCGGCAGCTGGGCCACAGGATCCAGCCACCGAACGCCGCGCAGCCCCTAATACTTCCTTCGCCGAGGCCAAACATGCGGAGCCCGGCATCCGTGCCGTGGCATGCCGTGGCCGGCATGTTGGCGCTATTTCTGGCCGCCGGCGCAATTTTCTCCGGCGAGAGCCTGGCTAGCGCAGCTGAGGCGTGCTGCGACGATCCCAAACCTGCGGAGGCCTCGGCCCAGTTCGAGCCGCGGGAGGGGCCGGACGGCATCCAAGGGGTGAGTCAGGCAGGGGGGAGGGCGGGGCCTCTATGAGGCCATGTTCTTACAAGGGTGGCCTTATCCCAGCGCCAAATTTGGACTGGAATTGAGCCGGCGTGGGGTGAGGCGGGGTGGCGATAGGCCCCAAGGGGATGGGATTGTGTGAGCCTGGCCGGGTAAAGGTGGGTATGGGGTGGGGCGGAGGCGTGTCAGTTTGGATCCAGGCTTTACAGAAATGTGATTGTCCCACTCGAGGAGGCCTGCGCATTCCGGAGACTCCCCTGAGGTTTGTGTGTTGTCATTCGCGTTTTGGTCCATTGTCTCGTGATGGCCTCTTTGGGGAGAGTGAGGCGCGGATGGACCCTCCGAGGGGCGAACAGGCGCGATCCCGAACTGGCGCCGCTTCGCCTCCGACTGGTTTTCCGCGACCCCGGTGGCGCGCCCCCCTCGCCGTGGGTCAGGGCCCGCTCTCCGTGGGTCAACCGCCGACGCTGACGCCGTTGACGTCAGTCGTGTGGGCCAGCGCCGCCGTGTGACGTGCTCCCCGAGCCCCCCCGCCGCCCTGTGACCTCGGGCAGCGTTTTTTTTTTGTTTGCTTTCCCTTCCTTTTTTTGTGCGAGCGTTGGGTTCCGGCGCTGCTGTCTCGACAGGGTCGCCTTTCGAACCGATAGTCTCGGTCCGAGAGTGGTTCGGGGGAGGGGGGCGCAGGCAGTGCAAGGTGTGGCTGTTCGAGCAGTGTGGATGAGGTTTGGATGGTTTTGGGGAGTGCGGTCAGCCGCGGCGGCGGCAGAAATTATGATGGGGCATCGTCAATCGATCCTTCATCAACAGGCCGTCACAAAACTCCCAACGTACACAGCCGCCCTCCCATGTCAGCGGCGACCGGTTCCAGGGATAATTCAGCCAAAATATCGCGGCCAAATTGTGGTCCACATGGCGCTGCCAAGCCTTCCACTCGCAGAAAACGCCTTTTGTTATGATATCAGCTGCGATGACCTACATGGCGACATGGCCATAGTTGTAGCGGCATAGATTACTGCAAATGTGGTCACTAAAAGGGCGTTTTCTACTTTCGTGACTCCATCTGTGCGCTTACATTTGCCTGGGGAGCGAGCGGCGTTCAATCACCCTTTTCAATCACGATAAATGCGAATGGATGCGACGAGCGCATCACTACAAAAAATGCATATACGTCAGGTAGCAACAAGATCGGCCTTTGACTTCATTGACTGAACGACTTCCGGCGCCCCTTTGCCCTCAAACCCCGTTTCCCCTTTGTAGGCGCAAGGGATGCGGCTTGAGGTTTGTCCGATGGCTATCATTTCTGGATATCAACATCATGAAGGGTCGCCAAGGTCGCGAAGGGCACGAGGGGCAAAAACAAATAAAACAGTAAAAAGGGGTAAAAAACTGATAATGATCTTTATGACCTCCATAATTTTCGCCCCCAGAAAAGAGGGACATGGGAAATTTGCGTGTGGCTTGTCGTGTCACGGCCATTGCAGACAAGCGGCTTGAAATTCTGTCTGTGGATGATAGGAAGGCAACTGGCGGTCCATCAGGCTGTTCGTCCGGACGCTGGTGGCCACCCTCCTTCTCATGGTCTTCACAATGATGGTCATTGCGGAGATCAGGAGGCCAGGCATCCTTTCGAGTTTTTATTGGAAGCTAGTCAGGAGGTGAGCAATGCGTTTTTCGTAAGCATGACGTCCCCAGACAGGGATTAGACAGTGATGGAATGATGTTTGCGCAGTGTCATTGATGCAAGGGGAATTGGAGCCGCAGCGTGACCAATGTATCAGCATTGGCGCAACGCTGGCACACACCTCAACGGCTGTCAACTTTGACATGTGGAGCTTGCTGAAGCGCTGCTGGGCATTGCATCAACGACATGCAGTCGCACTGTTGAATCAGCGTATGCTCGTTTCCCAATGCACCACAGTGTGCTGCTGGTAATGCGTTTACGCACTGCTTTGATGCAATAGTGAGTCCCGCTTACTTACCAGCCAGGAACAGAGTTGCTGCTGGAACACGCGAGTGAGTGCTTCATTGGCGGCACGGCGACACTATACGCCATTCAAGAGGCCCGCGGCAGGGACGAGGGCCTTGCTGGATCGTCCAGATATTTTGCGATGCTGATCTGGTGAAACATGTAACACAGCCACAGTACAACTACGGTGACAGAAGCTCTGCCGTTACTGGTGCCCATTCCAATGGCTTATCGTGGATTCTTTTATTTTTCTGGTGGCTTGGGCATATCGACACTCTTCTTTTTGGGACGCTTTTGTGTCTCGCAGTTTCTTGTCCTACTGCGATAATTTGCCTGCCAGGCAGGGCCCCCGAGAACGGATACGCATGGATGAATGGTTTCACTGTAATGCTCTGAAAGGATTTAAGGTCAGAGCAATTGCTGACGCGCGATTCCCAGATCTTTTGTTCGATTTCAGAGATGTGCTGTACTTACAGGATCTGCGGGAAATCAGCAGGGGATGCCTCGCTGGCCACCTTCTTTTCTTATCTTTTATTCTTTTGTTTTTTCAAAGGCCTGTTTCTTTGCTTCATGCTTGTCAGGGAGCAGCGCGGTGGATGGAAAGGGAAGTACTCCAGGAAAGGCTATTCAGGCATCAACCTGCATGCGCCTGCCGACAGCCACAAAAGGAAAGAGCTCCGCCCCAAGTCGGAGAGCGCCTGGAGGCGAAATCCTCCAGGCGCACCTATTTTGAACATAGAAAACGCTGCCGCCCTTGTGGGCGGATGGCAGAGCCGCGGCAGGCGCGGGGCCGTCAGAGAGGGCGTGTGGTTCGACAAGGACGGATGCGCTTGGAAGGTGGCCATCAAATCTCCAATAGACACAAAGGACAAGGCATGCGTGGAGGCAATAAACAAGGAGTGCAGCGCGCTGACCGCCATGCCGCACCATCCAAACATTGTGTGGGTGGTCGGCGGCCGCATTGGGGACGATCCCATGATCGTTGAGGAGCTGATGCCCATGAATCTCGCGCGCCTTTTGTCTGAGTCTGGGTCCGACCTGACCTACCACGACATCCTGAAGATTGGTCTGGACATTGCGAGGGGCATGTGTCACCTGCACGAACATGGTTACGCCCACATCGACATGACACCCTCGAGCATACTGCTGGACGAGGACCGCAACGCAATGTTGGCAGGGTTTTCGGACACAAGGTACAGCAGCGCCTCGACCTTTCACACCGCCTCGGATGGCAGCCAGGGGCACACGGTGCCAGAGTGCCTCCCAGGAAATGAAAAAGGAAATACAGAGCCAATGGCGCACCGACTCGATGCCGAGAAGGCCGACACTTACAGTCTTGGTAAGCTGTTGTCGAAGTGCGTTACAGCGAGTTTGGGTGTGGACGAAGCTGATGCGGAGAGGCTGTGCCCCTCCTCACTGTGGGACTTCATCTGTTGGTGCGTTCGGCCGCGTCCGCAGGATCGTCCTGGGTGTCACCAAGTCATGGAAGAGCTCAGCGGCATGTTGGGAGAGAACAGGAGTGACGCTGACGATTGGAGGGCGAGAAGGCTAAGGGCGCATATCTTGCGTGCTTCTCGGTGATTCCACGTGGTTTGATCAATCAAACGGACGACGAGCTCTGTTCCGAACATTTTCTTTGGGTTTTGGGGCTTGACAGTTTCCTGGTTTCTGGAAAAGAAACACAGGGCAGCTGGCCTGTGCAGAAGGCAGCGCTGATATCTGCTGTCGCCAAAGCCATGTGTAATAAATTGGTGCAAGGACTCTGGTTCCAGGACGACCGCGAGCACCTTTTAGTGGTGGCCAAACGCTTTGCCGGTGCCCACCAGACAATGCAGCTTTTACTTGCGTTCGTTGTGTGCTGAATGCGAAAAACTACTAAGAGCCGGTCTTAGCCACCACCAAGCCGCCGTGCTGCACTCGTAAACGCACGGATCACGTACGGGGGGTGAATGCCGCGGCCAGGCCCTACTAGTCACTCGTCACAAGCACAGGCAACTAGCAACGGCAACTGGTGGTAACAGCACTGCTGTTACCAGTTCCCGTTACCAGTTACGGGTTACAGGTTACCGGGCATTCGCCCCCAGGATTGGCCCGCAGCTGCCGTTGAGGTTGGGCAACGCGTTCCACCTGGACCCTTAGAGCATCTTTATCGGTCGGTGCTATTGCACCGGCGGAGTTATACAGGAACGGTTTTCATTGGCTGCCGTGCCACCTTACTAAGGCGGCATTTGCCGAATAGCACCGGTGCTATTGCTCCCCTGCACGCATCCGCAATGGTGGGTGCTATGACTACGCCGAATAGCATCACTGCAACACTACAATGTTCTGCGCGAATAGCACCGGTGCTATTCTGGGGAGCTATTCGGTCTCGAGCGGAGCTATTCTGGCCCCGAATAGCTCCGCTGGGCGCCGAATAGCTCCGGGGGAGCTATTGGGGAGTTATTGCTCCCCAACCGTTAATGATGGTTTTTTGACGTGCGGAGCTATTCGGATAGCCGAATAGCTCCGCCGGAACAATAGCGCCGACCGATAAAGATGCTCTTATGTAATGAAATCGCGTACCTCAAGCAGCCTCTCACCCGCTGACACCCAGCATCAAAGCCCCGCGGCACGCCTTCCCCACCACACGCGCGGAGGCCGCTTGCGGCTTCCCCGCACGCGTCTAGGGCAACAGCTCGCCCTCGCAAGTCCCCCCCCTGACAGTGGAGGTCACCCACAGGAAGCCAGCTCCGCCGCTCGCTACGGAAGATTCTTTTTCAGCGCCGAAGCGGCACTGCTCCGGACGCCTGCGACGGTTGGCCCTCCACTGGGGATCAGGATCGCCATGCCTGGCCCGGCACTTACCTCACGCACCCCGCCCCGTGCGGCGGGCGCTGACCACCGATGCCGAATGCATCTCCCATCGTTGACTTCGCGCATCCCGTTCTCCGCCATGGTCACGCTCATGCTGGCGCTCATGCCCGGCGCACGAGCAGGGGGGGTGGAGGATGTCAGGGAGAGGTACGGGGCCATGGTGGCGCGCGTGACCGAAGAGCTGAACGGGCGCTACGCGGACCCGCAGCGCTGGTTGGAGGCCGGCGGGTGCCCCTGCAGCTACCACGTGTGCGGCAGTGTGTTTCCGGAGGGCCGCTGCGTGGCCACCGGCATCACGAGGGCCGACTTCTGCCCGGATGGGGGCCGCTGCCGGCACACCAAGGTGGGTGGCGGGCGTCTTCCTTTGTCTCGTTTCTGAAGGTGGGTGATGGGTTGGGTCGAAAATGGGGCCCGCTCAAACAGCAGGTCGAGTCGATCTCGTGGGCGTGACTGACCGCATGCGCCCAGACGGTTGGGTGGGTAGCGGCTGAGGGAGATCTCCTTCCTGAAGGGTGGATGGCTAGGTGGCAAGAGGATGCTTGCTTCAAGGCGGCCCTGGCAACTGTTGGGGAACCCCGCATCCAGGCTTCGGCCGGCTCTAGAATGTACCCCTGACGGCCTTCTCCCCGTCTTTTGGCGCCTGGCCTTTCGACGGACTCGGCCTCCTGTCCGCGTCGACCCCGTCTAGGCTATGCGCGGCCCGCAGCACGATGGGGATCGGCCATCAGATTCCGCGGGCCCTGTATGAGCTGAGCCTGGGGGGACGTTTATCGCTGGTCACGGGTGAGGTGGCCTTCTGCTGAGGCGAGGGAGGCCATTGCAGAAAGTGGGTTTCGCCGTTCGGACTTCGGGTGGAAACTTTGTAGGCTGGGGTGCTGGGCCGGGTGCCGCGGGGCGGCGTGGCCGCGCGCTGCGTTACGTGACGTTTCATTGGCCGAGGAGCTTCGATGCTCCATGGCGGGAATTCCTACCATGCGCTTGGCTCGTTCTGATTCGAAAATGCGTTGTTCGCCGGGCCTTTTCACTGAAATTCCAGTGTATTGAGGAGTTTTTGGTGGTGGTGGATGTGGTGGTGGGGGAAAGGGGGAGGGTATACGAGTTATTGACAAGGCAGGTTTATGATTGAATGCCACATTCTTCCCTTTTTTGCCGATACTTGTGTCGATTGCCGTCGATTGGCATCGTCAGAGCTGAGGTCGTCTTTCCAACCTTGCGCCGCACGCTGTCCGAGTCAGACCGCCTTCCATTGCTTTTGCGTGACAGAATTTTGAGTGATGGTTCTCATGGCCGTTTTCCGGGAATTTCTTCTCTGCTTCGGACGCCTACAGGGATCATGAGATAAGGCAACAGCAACCACCAAACAGTTGCAGTGATGTAACGTGTTCTGCGCTGCATAGGGCTCCGTGGCATTCGTCCTCAGTACAGATCCACAATTCATTCGCTGCTGCCTTTATGTCAATAGCTGTGTTGGCGTGTGCACATTTGCTTCTTGCACTTGCACTGTGAGTGCGATCGCATAAAAAGGGCTGCGATGGCATCAATTTGTGTCAAAATTGCATCGCAGCTGGCACCGCAAACATGAAGTTTTCTACTGGTGTTGTACGCAGTGTTGATCCTTTGGTGGATTGTTAACTACGCTGTAATTTTGTCGCAGCTGCTCATGAACACCTCCATAATTTACACGCCGGATGCCCTGCTGCACCGCACCACGCGCCTGGCTCCCGAAATTGTCCGCGACATCTGCATGACTCAGGTGACGTCACGTTTGATGGGGTGACGTCGCCATTGTGACGTTGACTTGTTCGCCGCTTAGCAATGAGGCATCGCACGCTTATTGAAGTGTTTGGTCAATAAATTAATTATTCTGCAGCAGACACGTCCGCCTTCACCGAGAATTTCACAACCTTCATTATTTGCACGGGACATATGCGGGCCCATATGTGGGCTCTCCTGAAGTATTCATACTACGTGGTATATGCGAATGTTTGAGTTTTTCAGCGTGTTGCAATGAAGTATTAAGACGGGCTGCATTGATCAAATATTAGGACAAAGTGTTGATACCGACTATTTGGCGCCTCTGTAGCCCACGTGGCGTTTCCTCCAGTGCTCGCTATGATAGCGTCTTATGCTTATGCAAAGTCGATATAAATTGATGGTACTAGGCTTGTATTGCAAATACCGAGGCAAAGTTCTGGGGACAGGCACAGTATCGAAGTAGTGTAAATAAACATTGATAAGTAGCTCTGAAACGAATTTCTGTGACAAAACATCGCTTCGAAGCTTTGGTGTGATATACTGGTACAACATCTGTGAACACAATAATGGGACTTTCTGCGCTGCGTTCAGGGCTTGGAGGATACATTCAAGGAGGCAACCAATTACACTGGTGAATTCATTCCCTGGATATACTTTGCTCCAGTGCAATCTGGCATAAACAGGTGTGCAAAGTGGCATGTCCCAATGAACATGATCATTGAATTTGAGCGTTAAAAAGTCTAATATTCTGCATTCGAGATTTTGGATATCTCAACACAAAGAACGCAAGAACATACCGCCAAGTGATTTCATTGGCTAGAAGCAGCTCTTGCTTATTGGGCGCTGTAGAGATTGAGATTGCGCATATTTGTATGCCTCGCAGGCAATTTGCAGGTCATATTTCAATATGCAACTGGAGAAGGTGATATGAGCCTTGAGAACAGTGCCACCGTCGGAAGAGCCGAATACATTTCCGTTCTCCGTTTGCAGCCTCTTGACTTGGTGTTTCATGATTTGATGAAATCGAAATGCTCGGCATTGTCTTTTGAAGCGATGCAATGGGCCCAGAAAGGCGCATTTCATTTTGCCTCTTTATTGTCACAGGGTTTGGCCAGCCCGACCCAGCCCAAGAGATGAAGAAGGGACCTGCTTCAGTTGGGATGTGGTGGGTGTACACTGTGCGGAATAGCCCTAATATTTCTCAGTTATTCGCAAATTATATCAAATTCTATCGCGTCGATGAACACCCAAGGACGTACAATATTGCCGCGATGTGCTCTCATTCGATACCGTCTTGGTTGTCCAGTTTACAATATGCTGTAGAGTCTGACGGAGCTCGCCTCGGAGTTTGCGGCGACGACGAGAGGCGTGCAAATTTGCACAGACCTTTAAAGGTAGTGGCCGAGATGCACCTCGATCAGTCACAAACATCGATTCGGCTGGTGCGCCAAGATTCAGAAGATTCAGAGGGGTGTGTGTGCTGACACTTACCAAAATGACAGCCCAGGTTGCGTTAACGCGGCCAATCATTGAAAAGGATGATTTTGGAAGCAACAGTTGGCAAGGCGCAGAAGGAAACGTTCTGCAAATAATACGACAGTAATCATTATAGTATTGTATAGTGTATCATTATATAGTATATCATTATAGTAATGATGCCGCTGCTCTCGAAAGGGCGCAGTAGTGCCTACTTGCTGTCCAAAGCCCGGTCAGGCTTGACCTTTGCATGTGCGACTCCATTTTTCTTTCACGTTTTTAAGCGAAAAATGGAGAAACGTCCATTTTTGCGGCCGAATTTTACGCACATTAAAGACCCGCCCACGCACATAGATTACGCGATGATATCCCTAGCAATGATGAGTCGTCTATAGAGAGCTAGCTGACCCCTCGAACACCGGAAACACAGCGCTCACCTCACCCTCGGCAAGGAAAAAGACGTCGCCAAGCAAAAAGTCACTTTATGCGCATTTCAG